GTCTATCTCCGGACTAGATCAGATGGAAAGCTCTTTAATCTCTCTAGATTGAGAGCAAAGACCAAAGTTCAGCTTAAATGCATGTGGGACTTCCTCTTCGCCGATGCAGCCATTCTTGCCCACTCTGTCGAAGATCTCCAACCACTCATGAATCATTTTAGCAAGGCCTGCCAAGACTTTGGACTAGCAGTCAGCCTGAAGAAAACACAAGTCATGGGCCAGGGCGTGGACTCACCTCACTCTATTACCATCTCCATGAAAGAATTGGAGGTTGTCCATGAATTTGCGTATCTTGGCTCAACGATCTCTGACACTCTTTCTCTAGATGTCAAGCTGGATAAACGCATTGGCAAAGCAGCTAACATGTTCTCAAGACTCACAAAAAGAGTATGGCTCAATAAGAAGCTGACAGCATAGACCAAGATCCAGGTCTATAGAGCCTGTGTCCTGAGCACACTCCTGTACTGCAGTGAGTCCTGGACCCTTCATGCATGGCAGGAGAGAAAGCTGAACACATTCCATATACGTTGCCTCTGACGGATTTTTGGTATCACCTGGCAGGACAAAGTTCTAAATAGAGTAGTCCTAGATCGAGCTGGAATTTTTAGTATGTATACATTACTGAAACAGCAACGTCTACGTTGGCTCAGGCATGTTGCAAGAATGGCTGATGGTTGGATTCCAAAGGATCTCCTGTATGGAGAATTAGTGCAGGGAAATCGCCCCAGAGGGAGACCACAGCTGCGATACAAGGATATCTGCAAGCAGGATCTCAAGACCTTGGAAATGGATCTCAGCAGATGGGAAGCCCTGACATCTGAGCGCTCAGCTTGGAGGGATGCAGTGCATCATGGCCTCTCTCAATTTGAAGAGACCCTTGTACAGCAGGCTGAGGCAAAGAGGCAGTCACAAAAGCAGCAAAATCAGGGAGCTGGACAGGGGACAGATTGTATTTGTCTTCAGTGCGGAAGGGATTGTCACTCTCGAATTGGCCTTCTCAGCCACACTAGATGCTGTTCCAAGTCCTCCATGCAGAGCACGATACCATAGTCACTTGAGACTGAAGGATGCCTATGATGATGATGATATCAGCTTTAGAGTCTGTGTTCATGTGCCTAGCAGCAGGTGCAGTCAGGGTAACTGGTGTCAGACTCAGGAATGGTTCCCTGCTGGCATTGTGTGTCTTAAAGAGCCTGGTTGGGACAAGACATGGGAATTTGGAGTGTTTCACGCTACATTTAAAAGGTTTTTCATTTTAGTTCTATCTCTTTTATCTCACATTTGAATGGTCCTTCCATTCACATAGACGTTTCTTTTCCCATGAGAAGGAGCTAGACAGCACTTCAGATTGATCCAACTTCTATCTCTTTTGATTATTGATATCCCCTCCCCTACAGCTCACAAAAGTAGCAGGACAGATCGCTCTTACTTAAAACACATCCAGTGTTTTATCAGCTTGTCCCCATTAGCTTTTTCGCTATTTTATCTCATGTGGGCCCTAATATGTTTTAATTTCATACAATCTTTCATTAAGAGGGCAACGTGAGTAATTCTGTAGCTAAGAATTCTTAATGGTGACATATTTTGCAGTTTATCATACATTCATTGGCTTAAGATGAAATTGTTTTTACTGATTTTTAATAATTGTTGACTTTTCTTCTTTTTAATGTTAAACTTCAAGCTGATGTTCTTTTACCTTCACTTTTATGTTGTTTCAATATGTTTGATTATGCTGTTTTATGTCAGTATATCGGTACAAATATCTGGGAAAATATTTGTAGTTTGAAAATTAGGTATACATCATAAATAATATGGTGCAAGAAGCTAAGACCCCTTCACTGAACTTTAAAAGTTACTGTTAAAGTAATCTGTTCACTAACCAGTTACATATCTTTCCCCAGTGACTTAAAAGTAACTCATTTCCATTACCACTACAAAAAATCATCTGTTTATTGTATTACTCTTTACAATATTCACTATTTTTCATCACCTTTGTGTTCTTTTAAAAATGTTCTTTAAAATGTGGCTAAAAATTAGGAAGCAGAATCTCAAAATGCTGCAAGAAAGCATTTTTAATCCAGAATAAATAATGCCAGGGTAAAATAAGGAAAAAAAGTTACTTAGAAAATGTAGCAACATTTGCAAAAGGACCATAATTATGTCCTTGCTATCCTAAAAACAGTGTATTAGAGGTAACTTGGTGAATTTATAACATGATACTACCAAACCAGGGTTATTTATTCACTTGAGACAGTTAACAGATTTTGAGCATAGAGTTTTCATTTACTTTTGTTACCTGCCTATCATGAACTTCTCTAACCACTAAAAAACTCTGCCATCACATTTTATGTCATAGAATTTCTAGAGTAAATTATATGCTCTGTGCAGAACAAATTATTTCGATCAGCACTTGACCCCCACGTTCTATATTTGACACAAAAATGTCACTCTTTGCTCCAGAGTATCATTATATCCAGTCCTAACTATGTTTCCTTAGAAAGACATGCTGAGTCAGTGATCCATTTCTGAAACAAGTATCAGAACCCAATGACATTTTCATTCTAAATGATTATGCTGACATGAGATCGAAAGGTTCTTCATAGCGCTATTGTGTAGGCAAAGACCCCTGTTGGATTAGAACAAAGGCCTGCTTAGTTCAGCACACTGGGCAAAATCCATTTGTCACTCCCCACTAGAGTAGACCCATTGAATAAATGTGACTTGTTAAGTCAGCATTTGTATAAGTCCCTTGCATTTAGTAGTCTGCTCTAGCTGGGGCTAAAAACTGTATTTAGTCCTCTGTACCACAGTACCCAATTAGATACCTAGCAGAAAGTGCAGAAAGAGGTCATGAGTGCAATGTCACATTTCTAAACAACTTCCTCAGCAAATAATGAGAAGCATATTGTCTCTAATGATAACCAACAGTATGAAACAGCTACCATCACTGATCTCTTTGTCCTCCATAAACTTGGCTTATGCCTGTTTCAGAGCCATCTAAATTTGTGGCTATCGTTACATCTTGCGGCAGCAAATTTCATGATTTATCCATGCTCTTTCTGAAGGAATTCCCTTTCTCTTTCCAGTTTGCTGCATGGAGTGCTCCAAGGATTTAATCTTTGGGCAAATGAAATAAAAAATCTTGAAGTCATAGTAAACAATGACATGACTTCTGTATCGTTTAACATGTGCACAGATTCAGAGCTTGGAAAATATTCTTTTTTTAAAAAAAATGACAACTCCCAGAATTATCCAGCCAGCTTGGCTGTGGCTACGTTGACTGGGGAATTCTAAGACATGCAATTTAAAAAAAATAGTATGCCCAATGTTCAAGGACATTTTAAGGGTCCCTCTCTCTCCATTAGCCCTCAACCAATTGTGCTGTCACTATTCTGAGCATGTTGCAGTGTGTTCAGCCTGCATCAATAACAGTTACGGAGTTGTGCTACGGGCTGAGGGCCTGCAGAAAACAAAACTACCTGGAAGACACAGGGATACTTCACATTATTCTCACTGGATGACTGCAAAACGGTTAGAGCTGGCCCTACTCTTAGGTAAGATAAAGTAGCTGTGAGTGTCATGAAAGGGCAGCAAATCGTCATTGGTATTCGCGAAGGCTTTCACAGCCAGGATCTAATGGTTGTTGCGGGTTTTTCGGGCTCTGGCTGTGTTCTGAAGGTTGTTCTTCCTAATGTTTCGCCAGTCTCTGTGGCCGGCATCTTCAGAGGACAGCGCTCTGTGCTCTGCTTGCTGTCCTCTGAAGATGCTGGCCACAGAGACTGGTGAAACGTTAGGAAGAACAACCTTCAGAACACGGCCAAAGAGCCCGAAAAACCCACAACAACTAAAGTGTTACTGGGTTCAGTTACACTTTATTTTCTTGAAGCAAGTTATTACCTCTTTGATTTCTTATTTCTAGAGATGGAGAGAGGCATTCATGGGATTTTTCACATCATGTGCCCAAATAACTGAGATGGATTTTCTCCTTGACTTGTGTGGTTTGGCTGCTGTGGGAGTTCCCCTTTTACTGTTTGACCTCAGGCAGTATGATGTCTTAGGCTACTTCAGTTGCATCACACTTGAAAATGGGGCAGCATGTCAAATCAAAAGCTAGACAGACTGAAGAGAGGTCTCAGTATAATGCCCGTGAAGAGTTTTTCCGTACATATGAACATTTTCTTTAAACAAGTTATACAGTTTGTGAGCTTACCACATTTCTATGGGTGCATATGAGTACATACAAGGAATTACTATTTTGAAATTCTTTCAGGTATCTTATTCTCTTGATACATAATAACAATTTTTACTTTCGTCAGCAATCATTAATGTGCAAGGCCAAGGGGCCACACATGTAGTAAAACCCATTGCTTTCAATGTTGCTGCTGCTGTTACATGCTGTCATGTCACTTCTAACCTATGGTGACCCTACATATGAGCAATCTCCAAAACATTCTGTCCTCAACAGCCTGGTTCAGTTCTTTTAATCTCAAGCCTGTGGCTTCCTTGAGGGAGTCAACCCATCTAGTATTTGGTCTCCCTCTTTTGCTGCTGCCTTCAGTCTTTCCCAGCATCATCATCTTTTCCAGACAACCTTGCCTTCTCATGATGTGCCCAAAGTATGACAGCCTCAGTTTCATCCTTTTTGCCGCAATCTCTGCTTTTGCTTTCAAGAGTAGAGATTTAAGCACATACCTCATTTCATTACAATCTAAAAACCTCATTGGAATTTAACTGTACTAGTCAAACCAAGAATTAGCATTTTTTCCACTTTCTTTGAAATATATTTGTATAGTGTATACTCTATCACACATTTGTATACTACGTATATGACCTGAAGGCATTTCCTAATTCATCAACATCTTTGCTTTTTATGCCATTTCTATTTACAATAATAATTTTGAGCCATTATCCAACTATCCAAAGAATGAATGAATGCAGAAAATACTAACAAACATGATTGCACAGATATTTGCTTGTATGTTTGTTTTGAATCAACATACCTGGATTGTTTGGCTCTGGTAGACTTTAATTACATGAAAATTAAAACTGTAAATTCCTTTTCTTGGTGCTACAAAGACAGACTCCAGCGTAAAGAAATTGCCCACATTTACTAGGATCTATAAATTGAAGAAAAGAAAAAAATAATTAATGGGAGCATTCAGGTTTTTGAGGAAAGAATAAAATTCATTTGCAAAAGAGACAACATACATTAAAATATGCCAGGTGCTTTATTTACATATAAAGCTGATGTGTGCTTTAGAACAACTGAGCAACCAAGCAAGAACCTCCAAATTCATTTGTACTTACGTATGGTATTTCAAATTATTTTTCTGCTGTGGCTGAAAATTTTCAACAAGCTTGATCTGGCCCACTGTGGCTGAAGGTCTACACATTCTTGGTTTTGTTTTGTTTTTAAAGACACAGGGAAATTACTAGGATTTATTTTCAGGTTCTGTATCATGATTAAATCTCCCAAAGTAACCCAAAAGGAACTTTTGTTATCTCTGGTCTGCATTTTACCTACTTTGAGCTGGGAATCGGTAGTCTGGCGCTTGCCTGGCTCTGATCCTTCGTGGAGGACCATCCTCAGAGAGTACAGCTTGGGGAGAGGGTTTCAGCCCCGTGGAGCCTCAATTGTGGGGTTCTGTAGGGCTCGATTCTCTCCCCAATGCTGTTTAATATCTACATGAGGCCGCTGGGTGGGGTCATCAGGTGGTGTGGGGCGTTCTGCCATCAGTACGCTGATGACACCCAGCTCTACATCTCCTTTTCTCCAACCACAGTGGATGCCGTTTCATCCCTTCAGTGCTGCCTGGAGGCTGTACTGCAATGGATGCAGGAGAATTGACTGAGGCTGAACCCGGACAAGACAGAGGTCCTGAGGGTGGGTGACCCTTCCATTGGTGGTTTGGGAAGCTCCCTCTCTTTTGGGGGAGTGAATCTCACAGCGAAGAGTGAGGTTCACAGCTTGGGGTCCATCTGGATCCGGCACTCAACATGGAAACCCAGGTGGCGTCAGTGGTCCGCTCCGCCTATTTGCATCTGTGGTGGATTGCCCAGCTGCGTCCCTATCTTGATGTTGGGGTGCTCACCACTTTGGTCCATGCGCTTGTAATCTCGAGGTTAGACTACTGCAATGCACTCTACATGGGGCTACCTTTGAGACTGATGCGGAAGCTTCAAACAGTGCAGAATGTGGCAGCCAGACTTCTCAGTGGGACGAGAAAATATTTCCCCCACTCTGGCTGCCTTGCATTGGCTGCCCATTCATTTCCACATTGATTTCAAATGTTAACAATGACATATAAAGCCCTAAACGGTTTAGGACCTCGATATCTAGCAGAACGCCTCCTCCCACCTAGATCTATCCAAATCACTCATTCTAGCCGGGAAGGGCGGCTGAGGGGCCTAACGCTGAGGGAGGCCCAAAGAGAAAGAACAAGAAACCGGGCCTTCTCGGCAGTGCCCCCTCGCCTTTGGAACAGTCTCCCCTCAGAGACCTGTCTGAATCCCTCGCTGGGTGTTTTTAAGAGCCAATTTAAGACCTGGCTCTTTAGGCAGGCTTTCCCTCCTATCATCACCTGATTATTTTTATTTTTTTCCCCATCTTGAACCATATTACTATTGTTGCTTTTTGTTTTATTACACTGTTTTTATTCTGTTTTTATTGTTAGCCGCCCAGAGTAGACTTGTGTCTAGATGGGCGGGGTATGAATGAATGAATGAATGAATGAATGAATAAATAAATAAATAAATAAATAAATAAATAAATAAATAAATAAATAAATAAATAAATAAATAAATAAATAAATAAAGTTTCCTTATTTCACCAAAAATCTTGCTATGTGAGCTATCTCATTCCAGTGAATGGGTTGCTCCTATATTTAAAATCCATTTCCAGCACAATACTGTAGTGATGTCAGCCTCATTACAGTAGCTAGACAGGTGTAAACAAAGTGTCATGCTGAGTAACCACTACTGAGTCAGCAGCACATCACAAATGTGGGATCTTCTATCAGCATTGCAGTGACACAATACAATGCCTCTGACAGTGTATCATCATGTGCCAGAGGTCATTGCTTCTAAAATGCCTCAGATCACAGACTTACAAATACTATGCATTTGGTAGACCAGAGGACCAAATGATCTCGGGAGAGTGAAGCTCCAAGCTGGCTGATTGTCACTGTTGAGCAGGCGACATGCCTGTGTCCGCACAGTGCGTACGGGTCCCCTGATCTCATCTGGAAGCCAATTCAGGGGTTTTGGAATGTATTCCAACTTAATCTGGAAAAAAAAAGTGTCCCATTTGATTTGATTTGGGCTCTGGATGTGATTCACTTCTGCTAAACCTCTCATTGATTTGCACTGGAAAACAGACATTTTTTATTTTGTAGTCATAAACATGAAATTTAGCAAAACAAAAGACCCTAAACAAAGAAGTAAAGCTGGCAGATTTCAGAGAGTTAGATTCAGGGTTTTGCATGCTAGGGATTTTTAAAATTAACTTTTGCTTTGTCTTCCGAGCAGAAACAGATCTATAAATATGCTTCATTTTACCCTACAACCAACCTGGCCATTACAAATGCCAAACAATTAAAAAAAAACTAGGCAAAAATTCTTACAATGTCTCTCAGAGGGGTGGAAATGTTTGGAATGTTTCATTCTCACCAACAAGAATGAAATAAGCATAAGTTTAAATGCCTGGTTCCACATGTATATCCTAAATGCTTTCACAACTATTTTAATATTTATTTATTTATTTTTATTTGATTTATATCCTGCCTATCTGGTCTTGCGACCACTCTAGGCAGCTACTGTTGTGTTCATTTCTTTGTGCATATACTTCTGTTAGCACATATCATTTGTTGCATATATGACATGAAGGACACAGTTCCAACTGAATCCTACTTCTGCTCCATCACCACCAGTGCCACCATCTTATCATCAATTTATTTCTTTTACACTTATACCATGCTCTTCTTTAAATAAGCTCAAAGCAGCATATAAGTCTCTACCCACTCTGCTGCTATCCCTGCAAGAACACCGTCAGGCACATGAAAAGAAACTGATCCACTGTCATCCAGTGAGCATTTATT